TACGAGTGACTGACCCTCTAATGTCAATGATTCTCTAAAAAACTTAAAATGTAAAGCTGGTTCAGAAACTCATTGATGTTCATTTCAACAAACATATAATATGCAAACTTTTATGTTTAAAACTCACATGCGAACACTTGAATCAACATCCTATTTCGAGTTGATTAAGTTCAAATCAACCAAAACTCAATTCAAAGTCATACGACTAACACATTTATCTCAACATCAAAGCTCTAAAGGTTAAAAGTCTTACCCTTGAAGATTAATCGATAGTTCGGTTTTCTAAAAGCTCAAACTTGTAGCTTTAAGTGTGAGCTGGACATGGCTGGTCATGGATGGATGCATTTGAGAAATAATATTGAAGACAAAACACAAGAAAATTCGTGTTAGTTGCTGCTAATAGAAGAAAATGTATTGGGAAAGTGATTGAGAGAGCTACCTTACCACCAAAACCCAACTCTATGTTGAAGGAGCTTAAACCTTCTTCTCGGATTCCAATTTGACAGTAATTTTGGAAGGGTTTTTGGGCTACCAAACACGTTTAAAACTAGGGAAAAAGCAAGAGTTTGCTTCCTCTATGGATTAGGAAGAGAAATGATGGAGAAATTTCAAGTTTGGAGGTGTGAAAGGTGGTTTTCTTGTAAGGAGTTGAGGGAGATGCGGGAATAGTTGAGGGGAGAGTGAGAGAGATGAAAGAGAGCTGATTTTAGACTCTAAAAATTTGATGGGTGTGTTTTTAATTGATAGCCTCTTTCCAAAGTGGTTCAGCCATCGTGCTGAGGGGGATTCAATAAGTGTGGAGCTTCACCAAGATTGGAATGATTCCAATTTCATGGGCTTCGCCATTGGCTTTGTTGCTGCATCAATCCCTGAACGCTTCCATCCTTCTGAGTACGAATGGGCACACTTCGATTGTGAGTTACATTTTAAAACTAGGTCCGGTCAAATCGACAAACTTGCTGCATATAATTGTAATTGGATGATCTATCGTGGGGAATTTGTCATTGATGAAGAAGAAGAAGAAGCCAGGATCACTAGTAGTGATATTACTTCAGACCATGTCCTAATCTCGTACTATCCGGACTTGTGTTTGGAATATAGTGATGCAGTAGAGGCATCATTCTATTTGAAATACGGCATTTCACAGAAAATTCAAGTTGGAGTTGTGGTCCAATAGTGATGAGGGTTGGAGTTGGGTTGGTATATAGGAAAGGACTAATAATTCTGTGATTTTGAAATCACTCAGTACGTTTGGTTTATGTATTTATAATTATGATTCAGAATTATTTTCATTTTACGTGTATTTTTTGTGAGAAAAAATACTATAAAAAATTACGAATCATGATTCAGAATTAAGAACGAATATAGAAAACAAACGCCTCCTGATTCTTCTGATTTCAGAATAATTGATTCTTATAGTATCTCCAAATCCCTTCTTGTTTGCTATTTAACTAAATGGTACTTTGCTCTTTGCTCCCCTCTCTCTCTCTTGATTTCGTTCTGTGCATGACTCTTTTCAATTTCTCTGACAGCTTTCATAATTTTGTTTTCTAACAAGTTTTTACTGAATCTACTGCTCCGTTCACTTCGCTGATTCGAGTTTAGAATTCGAGTTGAGATGTGACTTTATGTGAGAGCTTTTTACTGTAGTAAAAAAGTTAGATGTGATTGTTTGTGAGAGCTTTTTACTGTAGTAAAAAAGTTAGATGTGATTGTTTGTGAGAGCTTTTTACTGTAGAAAAACTCAAATTCTAAACTCGAATATGCGAAGTGAACAGGGGCCTTAGGCTCTTATGTTAGAAAATATCCTTAGGCATAAAACATATCTCAAAATTCAAAAAACATTCATATTGAATTATTAAGAATCAATAGATTAAAAAGCGAAAGCGTATAAATTATTTTATAGAGCCGTGAAATTTTTTTTTTCTAGATCAATACTTTTTTTTCCTATTATTTCTTTAATTTTACATGCTATCTATAGATTCTTTTAATTTGGGTGCACCGACGATATTAGAAATTACATGCTGTCTATTATTTCTTATATATATTGTTTGGCTAATCACTTCGTTTTGTGTTTGTGTAGATATAGAAGTTGTCTTGATTAGGCAAGTTTTGCTGATTAATACGAAGACTATAAGGTGCAACTTTACCCTGTAATGCATGGTTTTTTATTTGGAGAAGATATATCTATATCCTATATACATAAATGACATCAAGACAATTATGAAAAATAATAATGTCGTATTAGCTATATTGATAGTTCAAAACGTAATTTTTTTAATATGGAAAGAAAACCGTAAGTGGTGCACAATTGGAAATACGTGTCAGTCGTTGTTAATCTAAATATGATATACATTCACCTAAACAAAATTACTGTATAAATGATATCCGGATGATTATCTATGGAAAGAAAAACCATAATTCATGTACAATCGGAAATCCGTGTGAAGGGTTATTCATCTAAAATAGCGTATGACATCTATCTATGGAAATAAAACCATAATTCAAAGTGTGAAATTCGTGTCAATAGGTAACATATAATTTTTCATTGATTACTCGCATTTTTTTTTAATTAACTCAACGTCATATTAAGGTACAATTCAAAAATTGTTGTCTTATTTAATCAGCAGACTTTTTGGTAATATATGAGTATGATTTTAATGGTAATTTAACTATTTTATTCATCAGTGTATCGTTATTTTAACTATAATATATTGATTTGATATTGTAATAAATTAAGTAGTTAATAAAAATATTTTTTTTCACAATTAATGAAATTAAATTCTTATTATATTTATTATTAAATTTCCATGTTTCATAGATAACCACCGTAAAAACGTAAACATTAATGCAAACTCGTCCATCTATGTGTGTGTATATATATATTTTTCTATTCAAAAGCTACGGTGGATAGCAGAAACCCAATTTAAGTATTCGGTAAAGTATAAATTAATTTTTTAGGAGATGTGTATGAGTAAAACACGCATATATTATCTTTACTTTGCTTATTTATAGTTATAATTTCTTGTTTCTAATATTATGGTCATCAATTTATAAAATTTTAGACCAAAATTCTCTCTCTCTCTCTCTATATATATATATATAGAATAGTTTTTATTAACTGTTGCCGTTTTGAAAATATCTAATAAATATTTTAGAGTATTTGAGTGTAATTCGGTATAGTACATTTATCAAATAACACTTAAATAAAATTTACAACTTTCAAATAAATAATGAGAAAAAATTACTAGCATGAAAGGAAATGTACGAAAGACATTTTTTTTTTTTTTTTTTTTGTTATAAAGATGTATAATATGAGTGGATACTTTAGAATTATGTATCACTAAGGTCAGTTTTCAATAAATACAATGAAATCAGATGCAGTAATCCAAAAGTAAACCATGAGTTATTTATTTAGTTTTACTGTTGAAGAGTAGTGTTTTGAATCTGCAAGGTGAAAGTAAGGTGAGACAAACATCCTCCCATGTTTTCAAAAAGACGTAACCCATAAACATAAATTTGCCTAATAGTTTCTTTCTCTCGTTTATTTGGAGCGAGGAGAATAAATCAACACTCGAATGCAATATTGTTATCAAGTTAATCCACTATTAATTATCTTGTTAATATGTCTTTCACATGTTAAAAAAAAGCTCAATTACTTTATTATGTGTAGACTTAAATTAATTCCATAAATGTCTTTTGAACAGTGTATCCTACTTCCAACATGTCTCCTGAACTTTGAAAAAGATTAAACTATACATAATCGTTCAAACACCCAACTCACTTATAATATAAACAAAATGATGGCATGTCACTACTTATAATTCCATAAATACCCCTCTAAACTGTTATTTAAGTCATTTTCTAAATGATTGATTCTGTGTCAACTTGCCCCTCTCCTTGAAATCGATCCGTGGTAAATTGACACAAAACCAAATGATTGTATAGTCTTTTATTAAATTACATTAGCTTTCTGGGTGCTTTGAACTAATTGTGTAATTAAATTTTGATTCTTCTTCAAAATTTGATGGGCATGTTGGACTAAATAGTTTAATAGAATCCGTGATAGTTACGTACCAATATGAACATGAGAAAAATTTGATAGCAACTAATTAGATCAAGCGAAAACAAATTCACACACGCATAAAATAGTAGTACTACAAATTACTATATATATAGTTGAAAACGGACTCATTAGTTGCAAAAAATTGTAGTACTAGTTGAAAACTGACTCCTCATTAGTTGCAGAATATCTGATTCCCAAGTTTGACCCATCGTCTTAATCAATCGACTTCCAAATTCGTTACAAAATACAAAGTTTAACCTTCATACCTAAGGAAGGTAAGGAATACGATGCGTATGATCAAACCTTTTATCCTAAATCTGATTTTATATGGGAATGATTTAATCTGAGCCATTCATTTCGAACCCACAAAGGCAAAAACAATTTCAATTAGTATCTTCTTTGTGTTTGCTAAAAGTTAATTTGCACGATTGATAATCCATGAGACATAGTCCTATATATACACCATATATCATGCATGCTTTTAAGTTCTAATAATTAAGAGCATTTAGTAGAAATATAGCCTTGAAGTTGTGAGCCAGAGTTCAACAAATTGAGTTCAGTCCCTAAGAAGCGGTTCTCTGCAAAGAATTTGTCAATAATCTCTTGGTCTTTGGTAACCAATTCATCCCTTTTTCTTTTTTTTTTTTGTTAAACTAATTTTTAAATTCTGTTATAGTACTACAATATAGAAAAATTAATTTATTACTGATAGATCTGTAATTACCTTAAGTGGTTGTAATTAGCACATATATAATGTAAATTTGTATACTTAGAAATCAACATTTTAACATATAATTAACACCTAATTATTTGAAGGAATGTGCGCATATACTATGTAATTTTGCGGCTCGTCATGATCATTGCAGATAAATATGAGTTAAAAATTAAGATAAATTTTTTTAAAAATTTTTTTAAAAACCAGCTAGTTACGGAGATGAGTTGGTGCGACTATTATGTACTGTTCCTGGGAATATCGTTAAGATTGTTCTCACTAGAATCAGAGGCAGTAGTACTTGTGGCTGATCAGAAACATTTAAGTGATGAGCATATTGATCACAAGAAGCAAAATGGAACAAAGTGGGCAGTTCTTGTTGCTGGGTCCAGAGAATATTTTAACTACAGGCATCAGGTATATATATATATATATATATATGTATATATTACTTTGTAAAATTATTATATATATATACAGATATATATATATATATATATAGGACATTAATATTGAAAAATATTATATTGGCAACTCATTTACTATTAATTAAGCGACATGAATATTTCGTTCTACTGCAGGCTGATGTATGCCATTCATATCAAATACTGAAGAAAGGTGGATTAAAAGATGAAAACATTATTGTTTTCATGTACGACGACATTGCGTTTAACAAGTATAACCCTAGGCCTGGTATCATTATCAACAAGCCTGATGGCCCTGATGTTTATGATGGAGTTCCCAAGGTCTCCCTTTCTTTTTCCTCTTTTTATTTTTTTTATTTTTTATGTTTCACTTGATTACTTGATTATATTAATTAATCTAATTTTTATCTATCTTGTATATTAAAATGGGCATAGTTACGAGCTAGATTATTATCTATAAGGAGATTTTCCCATTATGGACTTAATTATTTTACTAATGATCGATGATATAGCCTTGTACTGATCAGTAACTAAAAATTTGTATGTATCTATATTACTGCTGCTAATTTGTATATATATATATATGCAGGATTATACAAGAAAACATGTTACTGCTGGTAATTTTTATGCTGCTATTCTTGGGAATAGAAGTGCTCTGACGGGAGGTAGTGGCAAGGTTCTTGACAGCGGCCCAAATGACCACATTTTCATCTACTACGCCGATCACGGAGCTCCGGGGGTGCTTGGTTAGTCAAATTTTCTTGATTCAAATAACAAAAAGAGGTTTTCTAATTAATAGTATATATATTTTCCAAAATAAGTTACAGACTATGCTGTCCATATATATACACATGGTGTATGGTGATCTGTAGCTAGAGCTATTGTATATTTAGTGTCTTTACTTTGTTTTCTAGGGAGAAAATTTAACTTCTTATATTATGTAATTCTTTGATATATATATATATATATATATATGAGTGTGTGTGTGTGTGTATGTACGCATGTATGTACTTCTATGCATGTGTATGTTAATTACTTCGTGTATTATATATTCAGAAATGCCGTCGGGAGATGATCGTGTCTTTGCAAAAGATTTCGTAGACGTACTGAAGAAGAAGCACGAAGCCAAAGGATACAAAAGCATGGTAAATATACTATATATTATTCCTTTGCTTTTTAGGATCATTTCCTAATTTTACTGTAGTACATATTATATATATAGATATATGCAGATATGATATAAGGTCATTATAATTTCTATATCTATATATTATATATATCATACATAGTACGTAGACCAATGACATGTAGTAATTCACAATTTTGTGTAATGTTCAATAGTATAATATTAATATATGTCATATATATATATATATGATGAAATTATAACATTTATATTTAGGTGATATACATCGAAGCGTGTGAATCTGGAAGTATGTTTGTAGGGCTTCTTCCAGAGAATATCAATATTTATGCAACAACAGCAGCAAATGGAAAAGAAAGCAGTTATGGTACCTATTGTCCTGGTGATATTTATAGTTCTCCTCCCGAGTATGACACTTGTTTGGGAGACATGTACAGTATTTCTTGGATGGAAGAGTGGTACGTACGTATTACTAATCATATGTAGTTATACAATATTATTGTATAATATTGTGTATAATGTATATATACAAAGAAACACTCATTTATTTATTCTTGAAATATATACCCTCAAACACTCATTTTCCATGGGTTTTCAGCCCCAAAAAATAAGTACTACTCTTTTTTGGGTTTAAGTATCATAGCTGGCCAAGCAACACTATGGTTAAAATATGTGAACACAATATATTTTAAGTAAATGGTGGTTGTACAGAACTCTCAAATTCCATTTGGGGATGAGAAAATTTGACCTGTATGCTAATCTTAGCGTCAACTACTCTAATTATGTGTACATACTTGCAGTGTTATGCAATATATACGAGTGTGTATATATATAACTTATGATATACTAATTTTATTCTTACTTTGCATGCATGTGATATCAACAGTGACAAAATTGACTTACGCCAAGAAACTTTGGGACATCAATATGAAGTGGTAAAATCAAAACAACATTTTTAGAACAATTTTTAATCCTTCTTGCTAACAATATATATAATTTTCATTTTTCCTTTTCCTTTTTCGTTTTCTTTTTTGAAGTAGTGAAATAATCATCATCTTTTCACTTCTCTTTTGAATGATATATATATATATATACATATATTGAGTTTAATTAATTAATTATCAATTGTAACATATTAACACAGGTTCGAAGGAGAACGGCAAATAGTAATTTATTCTCCAGTTCCCATGTCATGCAATTTGGAAACACGAATCAAAAAGAAGATAGCCTCTCCACTTACCTAGGCTCAAATCCTGCCAATGATAACTTTACTTCCACTATTAATCATGATGACCATGATGATCAAATTGATTTCTCTCCATCAGTACGATCAACGGTTGTCAGCCAACGTGATGCAGATATCCTCTACCTTTGGCGCAAGGTTTCTACTGTATACATATACATATAGTGCCTCCCTAATTTATTAATGTCAATTAATTAACTCTTAGAAAAATTCAATTTATTAATTTTTTTTTGTATTAATTTCTACATAACATATTTATATATGTCTTACCTTTTTTTTTTTTTTTTTTGGCTTTTAGTGCATGATCAATATGATAATATAGAACTAAAAACTTACGTATATTTAATGTGTTTTTCCAGTTCCAAAAGGCTCCCACCGGCTCTGGTGAGAAGCTTGAAGGTCATAAAAAGCTCCAGGAAGAACTTTCTCAAAGGAAACAAATTGACCATACAATTCAACAGATTGGAAAGTTTCTGTTTGGCACGTACGAGGAAACCTCAAAAGTCTTAAACAATGTTAGGCCATCCGGGCAACCACTTGTGGATGATTGGGACTGCTTCAAGATGCATGTAAGAGCTTGCATACAACATATATATATATATATACACACACACACACATTACGTAATGATCGTACTAATTATATTAATGTATTATAAATTACAGATGAAGACTTATGAGAAATATTGTGGAAGATTGTCGAAGTATGGAATGAAGTACACACGAGCTATTGCCAACATGTGCAACGCTGGGATCACCACGGACCAATTGGTTGCGGCCTTAATGCCAACTTGTGCCAGTTAAAGAAGAGAAACCCTCTTCTCTTTTCATCTTATATTATGTATCCGAAGACGGTCTACGGTTTTGTCATTCACAAAATGACCAAGTTTTATAAATAAAATGGAAAAATAGTACTAATTAATATGACTCATCTCTACTCTTTTTTGTTAACTTTATAGCAATCTAGTCTAAGAAAGGAGTAAAAATAGCTCTAAAACAATGCATGGATTAAATAAGATACGTTAAAATTATACTTATAAGATACGTGGAAAGACGATTTGTTTGTTTCACGGAAAGAAACTATACTGCTAATTGAGTGATATAGATATTAAGTTTACGATATTGAATGATATAGAGGGCAAAAATGACATCCTCTAAGTGTCACTACTGTGTTTTTCTCAAGTTTTATACCTTTCTGTTGTAGTTTTTCTCTAAAAAAAAAAAAAAAAAAATTTAAACCTTTGTTCAAAATTATGAACCAAACGGGCTACATGAGTAATTGTAGGAAGAGAGATTTCAATGAATGCCCCAAAAGACAAACTTTTTGATTCTTGCTATCGGATATTGGAGCTTTTATTTGTGCCCCTAAAATGGACACGTCGAAGGTTCATAAAGTTTTACCATACTCGTCTCCGAACAAAAAGGCAATTTAAAAGATTACCACCAGTAATCTAACAAATTATATTTTATTTTCAACAATAGGCTGATCGTTTCCAGCCATTGAAGCCAGTAAACCGAAAGTAAACTGGTAGATTTTTTATTTTTTTGCCCAATAAGGGAAATGGTCATCCATCTCCGGTTGTTAGTTGTTGGAAAGTATGCTAATAAATTATTTTTGATGATCTACTAGATTATTTTGCTTTTTTCAACGGTGTCATTGAACTACAAAATTATTACGCACAAAATAACTAGATTTGCAAAACAGAGAAGCAACAAATCAACTAAAAACCAAACTTACAAAACTTCCGTACTAGAAACCACGTTATCAAATAAATGTACACAAATTAAAAAAAACAGATCAAAACTAGAACATTACAAAATTACATGCCAGTAAAGTTACAAAAATTCCATACAAGCTCCCGCAGATTTATCCAATGTTTAGACGTACTTGAAAATGACAACAAAAATTAACGTCAAAATTTGTTCACACATCATACTGAACCTCTCGATAAATGGTCAATATTGAACTTCACTTTTCGGCGATGATGACATGTCTTTAATAGAATATCTTACTGAATCACGAAAAGCCTTGAGAAAAAAAGGAAGTAGCTCCACTTCATCAACTTTTTTTTTTTTTTTTTTTTTCATGGAAAAAGTGAAATAAATATACAAACTAATTCAAAATTGAAAAACCATAGAAGTAATAATCAGAGCTCCATCGTTATTTTTCCCTAATTTGAACTGGGTCTTCGACGTCTTTGCGTGAGCCTTGATAATGTTTCATCAATTTATTTATTTTTGTGGTGTTGTGTGTTTTTGTGATGAATTCAATAAAAAACTCTCACAAAAAGTTACATATCAACTTAAATTAAAGAAGTGAACGAGTTAGTCTTATTATTGAACACTCTTATTTATACCGATAGGGTTAAAACCCCACTACTAAGATGAAGTGGATCATGATAAGTGAGTAGGTAGGACCCAACTTTATAAGATATATTCACCATTTTTTGAGTAATGGGGTTTTATCTTGAAAAATATCATTTTTCTTTATGATTTTAGGGTAGAATCATATTATTATGTTGCTGGAGTGAGGAGTCATAGGCGCTCCGGATGGATGGTGATGGGCGCGTTTGGAACTCGTTCTAAAATGATTTTATTTTTTGTATGAAAATGAAAATGAAAACGTTTTTAATCTCAGACATAAATCATTTTTAAAAATGCGTTTGGTAATTTTATCAAGAGATTGTTTTCAGTATAAAAAAAAAACTCATTAATGTCTCTCTCTCTTTCTCTATGCTCGAGAGAGGAGAAAACGAAAACAAAAAATGAAAAATGACTAAAAGTCATTTTTCATTTCTCTCTCATTTTACACAAAACCAAAAATTGTTTTCATTTCCGTTTTTTGTCTTTATTGCGTTCAAACGCCGTTTTTGAAACGTTTTCATTTTTTATTTCTTAGAAAACGTAAAAAATAAAAACATAATCAATTCCAAACACAACCATCATGTTCAAGATTTGGAATCTTAATTTTTTAATTATTTTTTTTAGTCATTTATATGCAAGAAAGCTGGAAATAAGTTGAGAAGTTCTGAAATGTAATTACGTGATCTACATAACCTGCTTTTGAAACTTCAGTTATATGCTTAATTAATCTAGTATTACGGGAAGTTGAAAACCAATTAGGCGAAGTTCGTTGGTTGACATGAGTTTCTCCATAATTAATCTAGGTACATAAGACTTCTCTAATAGATTAGGCTGAGAATCTAATTCCTATTTTGATTGGATTTTTTCATTTCGTAGTTTTATGCCCAAGAATTTGAAGTGGTTGATCATCTGTTTCCCCTAGAGTGCCTCTTCTTTTATGATGTATTATTAGAGTTGAGAAATTACTGCCTTGTTCACAGCTCAAATTAAAATTAAAATTCTTTTACTACAATGTTAATTTATCGGGAATAGTTTTCTGTGTTTTTTCTTCCATTGGCAATTAGTTTTAAATTTGAATATTCTTTTTTTGGGTTAATTTATCTGGAATAGTTTTCTGTAGTTATCGTTTATTTACCATAATATCTATTTGAATTAAGAAAGGACTTGTGTTTCATTTTACTAGTACTAAGCGAGGGGAAAAAATGTTGAAACTGCATATATGAGACTTAACTTTCTGATTGGTACCGGTGTTAACGCTCAGTAAAATCATGTTTCATAGGATTCATCCGCATTAGAACCAAATGTGCTTCTTTTCGTTTAAAAAAATAAAAAAATTTATGGTTACGAAATGTATTTTTTTAAAACAAAAATATGTAACAAAAGATATGAAGTAACATTTTTATTTTTTGTTAAAAAAATAAAAAAAAAAGGAATGAAATTGGTGTCAATTTCGGCCTTAGTGTTATAAGGAGGTGAGAATTGAGGAGATTCAAAAATACTGCAACCATGGATTTCACATCTCAATATAACTACTGGATAATGCGGTTAATTTCGGAATTTCCGATGTCATGATAGGACTGAAAAACAAAAGACAACGAATAACAGTTTTTTTCTTTGAGATTGTAATTATCGGTGGACTTTCTTGTATAAACTTGCAATTTCAAGCATAGTTATATCCGATATTCTTCATTGATATTATCTACATTCATATATGTATATGTATATATATGTATATATAAGAAATTTTGTGATGACCTCAATTTGTTACTTCAAAATTAGCTCATCGAATAATTTCTGTATTCCCAGGACATCTGAAAATTTGAAATAATGCCTAGTAGTTACGGTGGTGGTCGATGTGGCGGTTCAATAAAATTAGCAGCTCTTAAAAGCTGTCTGATTATTAGTATTTGGTGGCTCAGCAGTATAAGTAGGGCAAATGCATCATCAAAACTGGGCTTTGCAGATTTCATTGGTGGCCAAAGAGCCGCTGCCACTCTCAGTAGTAATGGCGGGACGAGATGGGCAGTTCTTGTTGCTGGATCATCTGGATGGATGAACTATAGGCATCAGGTACCTATAGATTATGGCCTCATTCACTTTATGAATTCGAGTTAATTAGCTTATATTTACGTTTTGAATTCTTATTGCTACTAACTATTTTAATGCATGATTCTGCATAAACGTATTGTTCTCTGAGCTATCAATTCGTTTAATATAATTAGTATTATTATTTATTTTGTTTTGTTTTTTGTTTTTTATTTTGGTTTTGAAGTGACCTAAAAGTTAAACATTAGCGTCCACAAGATCTCTTTAAAAGACAGTTCGTGAAAAAAAAAAAGGCACAACCCATTTAATTTTTTTTAACAAGAAAATCATCGCTGAATCTTTTAGAGACCGTTTTTGGGCTTTTAGCAACAATATCATTGCTAAAAGACCATTTTATGAGGCTAGTTTTTTACTGGTATCACTTTCATGTGTAAATTAGACTTAAGTTTTTTTTTTTTTTTTTATACAAGTGGTATACTCGGCTACCAAGTATTCCTCTAATCCACCACTATTTTTGTTATTCTAGGTTTCTATTTAATTTGGATTAACTCTACTTATAGTGTATCGATCATTTTACATCAATTTTGATTTAGAACCATGCATGGTTTATGGAAATGACTGAATTTATTCGGCCAATCACTATAATCATGGTTTAACCCTTTTTTTTAAAAAAAAAAAAAAAAAAAAAAAAAACATCTTTTATCAGTTTTTATAATGCAGGCGAATGTATGTCATGCATATCAAATACTAAAAAAAGCAGGACTCAAAGATGAAAACATCGTCGTTTTCATGTACGATGACATTGCATTCAGCGTGAACAATCCAATGCCTGGAGTCATCATCAACAGGCCGAAAGGATCAGATGTTTACAAGGGAGTTCCCAAGGTCTCTCTTTCTATATCTACACACAAATATTGATGCTAACCCTATGTTTTGCTCTGGAATTGTATGTATAATTGATGAGCACTTTTTTTGTTTTGTTTTGTTTTGTTTTTTTCTTTTCCTTAGTATTTTTTATTAGGCATCATGAACTTATCGATTCTAGATAACTTAGTCCCGAATTTTAAATTTTGAGACAATAAGATTCTAAATTCTGAATTCTATAACATTTGTGGTCCAGTAATTAACCGGCGTCAATTAGTGGACATAGAGCTGAATAATTTTTATACAAAATGCATCTGAAACTATTTCTTGATCAGTAAGTTGGACATTGAACTTTTTAATTTTATTATTTGGGAGCCTTTTTTTTTTTGGGAACATTTGGGAGTACTCTAGCTAGTGTTCATTTGTTAACATATTTACGTTATTAATTGGACTGCATTGTCAAGAATTGTCAAATTTAAGGTCTTAATCATAACAGTTTCATTAATGACTACAAGCAATTGTGTGTTTTCACATTGTAAATTTGTAATAGATCATATATCATCGAAAAATTAATCAAACAGCTGAAACAATTATTTCAACCGATAAGAGAAAAGGGCAATTCCTACCGCAGAAAGTTCTTTTTTTTTTAGGATTAGGTAGATTAATATTTCTGTTCATTTGTCTGGATGTCTAACAGGATTATACGGGGGATAATGCCACTGCAAATAATCTTTATGCTGTAATCCTTGGAAACAAAACTGCTCTCTCTGGAGGCAGTGGCAAGGTTGTCGATAGTGGTCCAGATGATTTTATTTTCATTTACTATACTGACCATGGTGGTCCCGGTGTTGTTGGTTAGTAGTCTCAGTCTTAAAATTTTTTTTTTAATTTGTTTATTTTTTTAAATCCTCAATTATCCCTAGTACTAATTTTACAATCTTATGGTTTAAGAAATTCAAAAGCATTATTATTTTGTCCTCAGAGATGGCAGCTGGAGATCCCATTTACGCCAATGATTTGGTAGACGTATTAAAGAAGAAAAATTCCGCTAATTCTTATAAAAGCATGGTAATACATGTCTTAAGTGTCATTATTTCCTGATTAGATGAATTCCTTATGATCAGTTTTCCTAACGATATTCTTGCGATGATACACGCGCGCACATATATATATATATGTGTGTGTGTGTGTATGTGTGTAAACTGTAGGTATTTTATCTTGAAGCTTGTGAATCTGGGAGTATGTTTGATGGCCTTCTTCCAAACAATATAAATATATATGCAACGACATCAACAAACCCCAAGGAGCTTGGTTGGGCAATATATTGTCCAGGGGATCACGGCAGTATGTCTAAGGAGTACGATACTTGTTTGGGAGACCTCTTTAGTGTTTCTTGGATGGAGGATTGGTACGCACCTCTTATATATATACACACACACACACACACACATATAATTTCTTATTTTATATATATTTCCATGCAAAAAATATTGAATCTTTAATAATCAAACATTGAACACAACAAAAGGCTAGTTTCTCTAGCGCAGATGAATATATCACATGGTTTCTTATATAGCAGTTTTCGACTAATATTCTTTCTCGCTCTCTTCTTGACAAATTACTACTTTTTTCTATGTTTTGTGAATGTTTTGGAAAACAGTGACAAGGAGGACTTACGTGAGGAAACTTTGGAGCAGCAATATGAAGTGGTAAAATCCTTGAAAACTCGAACATTTTGGAAATTGATATTTACCTTATAGAAAGATGGTCATATTCCTTTAAAAGACAGAGAGATGGTCATATACTAAATTTGACGCTTGGTGCTTATTAATTGATGTGTTGACTTTTCCACTTAATACTTACAATATTTTTAGTTTCGAATCATTTAAAAAAAAATCATTTCAAGTTGAATTTTAGAGCTTAAAATATACAGAAAAATTAAATATAAAATTTCGAATGCATTGGAGCACAACATAAAACATCGTGTAATCATATATGCAACTTAATTATGAACTTTATTTGATAATTAAATATACCATAGATATTAACATTCACGTTGGAGACGGCCATAAAATGTATTTTTCAAATGAAAGTAAGAGTGTCAATTTCCATGATATAGGTTAGAAAGAGAACAGGAGAAGGTGATGGGCTCAATCGAAGTTCTAATGTCATGCAATATGGTGACACGAGTTTCACTGGGAATTTGCTCTCTGCTTACATGGGCAACAACCCTAAAAACTCTAGTACTGCCATTGATGAACTTGACTCATCAACTCCACTAGGCTCATCCGTGTCTCAGCGCGACGCCGATCTACTTCATTTTTGGCACAAGGTTAATTAATTTCTAATTAATGATCTTCGTTTTTCTAAACACTTTTATGATCATGTTGAATTTTGATTTAATTTTTCGATTAATTTTTAATTTTTTTTTCATCCTTCTTGTTTGTAGTTCAATATGGCTCCTACTGGCTCCAGGGAGAAGCTTGAAGCTGAAGACAAGTTATTTGCTGAAATTTCTCACAGGAAGAAAGTAGACCATAACATAAATCAAATAGGGAAGCTTTTACTCGGATACGAAAACAATGCAAAAGTGTTGAAGAATGTTCGACCTTCGGGACAACCTCTTGTAGATGACTGGGACTGTCTTAAGAATCTGGTAATAAGCTAGCCTTTCCTAATCAATTTCTATTATTAGTAGACTTCATAATATTCAGGTCCGTTTGGATCGCGATTTCGAATTGTTGCGTTTGAGCTTTTGTTTGCACTTATAATCCGTAAAATGTGGTCTAAATTGTAATCCAATTAAGCTTATGTTTAAGCATGCAATTCAAATGTAAATCTGAAAAGAGAATGAAATAACCATCCAATTCGAATTTTGGACCCTTTTTGAACTTACCAAACAATATTTTGAACCCGTATGATCAGACAAACGCTCTATAAGTTTATAATTTATTTGAACCAAGTTCCTTTTTTTTTTTGGGGGATAAGGAGGGATATTTTAAAAGGAGGGACCCTTTTTGAATTGGTAAAATGATTACTAAATTATAGCATATTTTAAAAAAATAGTAAATTATAATATAATTTGATATTTTAAGTTTTAAACATTATTAAAAACCCAAAAATACCTCTAAACCTCCTTTTCCACCCCACTCCTCCCCTCAAAACATCTATTTTTAAAAAAATAGTAAATTACCTCCTTTTCCCTTTTTTTTTTAACTCCCCAAATGTTGCTTATGTTGAATCCCTTTTTCTCCCCTTCTTCATACAGGTCAGAACTTATGAGAGATATTGTGGATCTTTGTCAACATATGGAATGAAATACACACGGGATTTTGCCAATATGTGTAACGTTGGGGTTAACAACTACCAAATGGTCGTGGCAACGGTTCACACTTGTTCCTAAATGAAATCTCTCTTAGTTCCATTAGTGTATGGAACAAATAATCATGTATGGCTTATGTATCTTCATGGTTGTATCATGATATATAGAAATCTCGTGAAATAAATGAAACTTGGTAAAATTTGGGTGCATTAGTGCCACATCAGTTTCTTCTTGTGTGTACTAAGGAATTTCTCTTATTGTTTAAATGTTTTGATCTCATGCAATACTGCGTTTAAAATAGGTAATGTAGCTGAAGCTTAAGTTAGATACATGGAAATGAATAAAAAAAGGGTTAAATTTATTAGCATGAAATTCATACAGAATATTTTAAAATCAAAATTAATATTTTTGAAATTTGTTGATTCATACAAAATATTGCTAAACATTAGGAGAAAAAATTGCAAGTACTAATTATAGCTCAATTTTATTCAATAATGTCTTTTTTTTTATATACAAAAGAGCACCAATTTATAGGAGAAAATACAAACGATTAATTAAGTCAAAACGACCCTTATATAATTAAAAATAAAAAGTGAAAATTTTCAAAACAGAAAATATTGAACATGAATGAAAAATTAAACCTATCCGACCCAAACAATAAAGAAATGCAATCAAAATGAGAATCAGATAAGTCTTGGCCAAATTAGGTACTCGTATATAAAAGGAAGTCATAAGCTAGGTGGGAGCTTTAACTTTCTACTATGTGGGACTTCTACACCAAGTATGTGTGCGCAGCTTTTCGTCTAATTAATAAGTTTTGGTTTAGGGATTTTGTTTTATGGTTTGCATTGAAGTTTGATATTTATCTTTTTTTTTTTTTTTTTTTTTTTTTTTTTTTTTTTTTTTTTTTTTTGTGTGTGCGTTCAATCTTCATATATGATTATTAGATTTTTCCTATCCTACTTTATAAGGCAGAGTCATTCCTTGACTTTGTTCACGACATCATTGCCTCGTTCAGTCCAATGTCAAATTATATTGGGAGTAAGATTATTCGAGTTTTTAATTCGAATTGAGATATGACTTTATGTGAGAACTTTTTACTGTAGCAAAAAAGTTAAATGTGACTGTTTTTAAGAGCTTTTTACTGTAACAAAACTCGAATTTTAAACTCGAATCGGTAAAATGAAGGGAGCCTAAACAACCAACACAGAATTGCTCTCCAACGATGGTTTGGGACTATATATATCGGGACTATATATACCCTCCATATAGGCTTTATCAAATAGATCAAATACCTAAATAAGAGAGGCCTAAGATTTTAATACGGTTTGGAAGTAAATGAAAAAGACCTATTGATGCGGTAGTTTAAGATGGACACTTTATAGCGAAATATGCATTTATTATCCTGTATTTTGATAATTATTAAGTAAGTAACTCTGGCATTTTAGAAAATGTTTTCTTTTTAATACCGTCATGCTATTTTTATGATGTGAAATGTTAAATCTATCATCCTGATAATTAAATAAAAATTAATAACATAGAAGTCTAAAAATTATTTTAAACAATTAAAAACTAAAAAAATGTTTTAAATTATTTTTAAATTTTTTAACTTTTTTTTGAGTTTTTAAATGTATTAAATTGTTTTAGACTTTTAAAATAATTATTGGATTTTATTTAGTTAATGAGGAGGGCAGATTTGACATTTCACATCTCAAAAATCGGCCTGAAAGTATTAAAAAATTTTTTCTAAAATGTCGACACCACACCTATATGCTTGATATTATAAAAAACACAGGATATCAAATAATGAAGGGTACCGAAATGAAACTTTCAATAAATTAAACAATATATAAAACAACGGAAAAGAAGCAAAAAGAACCTCGCAATTCCTTTAGTTGTCACGTTTCATTTGTTTTCAAGCATCAAATATATCTTTCCTTAAACTAAAACATATACAAGTCTCTCCACGTTAATAATCCCATTATCTTGTTATTTTTATTTTTCTTCCTTTCAACGCAAACAATGCCGGACATAGAACAATAACGCTTATTAATTAAAACGGAAGAAAAAAAATCAAGAAATAGGAGAAAAAAACACATAAAATTTCTTTCTCCATGACAGCCTAGCTTTGAAGGAGGTTTCGTAGCAACTTTAACGCATATATGCACGATCCAGAAAAGCAAAGTTTTATTGATACCATCGACATTATATACGATTGCTAGCTAATGTATATCATCTATATTCTCTCTCTCTCTCTTTTATTAATAAGGTGTGATATTATCTATATTCGTAGGTGCAAAAACATGTCGTGTATGTAAATATTTCATTGTCGCTTCATTCTCTTTAATTGTCTCATAACTCCTCTTAATTTGATTACCTAAATTATAAACTAACGAAAAGCATGAGAACTAATCATAATTCAGTTTCATTATTTCATAATTTAGATGAGAAGCGAATCCAAACAAATGGGAAAACGACAAAAGAGTGCAACATGCTACAAATATATAACAATTCGCCTTTCGTTTGTCACGTTTCATTTGTTTCTAAGCACCAATATATGTTTCCTTAATCTAAAGCATAAGTCTCTCCGTACCCATTATCTTTTTTTATTTTTATTTTTCTCCCTTTCAACGCAGACTGGTATATATATATATATATATATATATATCATATATGGATAACATATATATAACAATAAAATCAAGAAAAAAAAAGCGAAAAATCGACATACAGTTTCTTTGATCCATGATAGCCTAGTTTAAAGGGGGTTTCTTTGCAACTTCAAAGCATAGTTATGGACGATCCACACAAGCAAAGTTTTATTGATACCATCGATATTCTTTAGTATATATATATATTGCTAACTAATTGATCGATAATATCGTAGGTGATCGTGTATATAAATGTTTCATTATCGCTTCATTCTCTTATAATTGTCTCATAATTAACTCTTCTTTATTTGATGAATATCTAAATTCTAAACTATAACTAAAAGCATGAGAACTAGTCGTAATTCAGTTTCTTTAATTCTCGCACTTCTGTGCTGTTTGTTGATACTACGCGCAGCAAATTCGTCAAGGTTACAGCACTCTCCATTGTTTGCAAACTTCTTGGGTGGTGATAAAGGCACACTCGATGACATTGCGACAAATGGGACCAGATGGGCAGTTTTGGTTGCTGGTTCAACCGAATGGTGGAACTATAGGCATCAGGTATATATAGGAGATATATATATATATACACACAAATATATAAAAGCACACATACTTGTATATTTGTGTGTAGATAGTATGAAAATACCGATATCAGTAGAAATATTGGCACTCTGATTTCAATTGACTCTTTCTATATCTTAACGAAATTGAAAATTGAAAAAACATAAAGGGTGAGTTTGGAACTTGTTTCAAAATGATTTTATTTTTTGTATGAAAATAAAAATGTTTTCAATCTCATGACTGAAATTATTTTTGAAAATATGTTTAGTAGTTTTATGAAGAGATTGTTTTCAGTGTAAAAATTTCATTAATGTCTCTCTTTCTCTCTCTCTCTGCTCGAGAGAGGAGAAAATGAAAACAAAAAATGAAAAATAACTCATTTTTCATTTATCTCTTATTTTATACTAAACTAAAAAATTATTTTCATTTCCTTTTTTTGTCTTTATTGAACGCCGTTTTGAAAACATTTTCATTATTTCTTTCTCAAAAAACGTGAAAAACAAAAGCGAGATCAATTCTAAACACGACCAAAGCTTTTTTTATCCAAATATATTTCCGCGTCTCATTAGAATTCTGAAATTTCAAACATTTCCACCGATTTGCACGTGTGGGAAAGATTAATGAAATGGACAAACTCACATAGATTTTATATGCTTTCAAAATTATAAGTATTAAACCAAAATCATATATCAAAACATTAAGCAGATTAAATTTAAATGTTTAAAAACATTAACTACACCTTTATAGGGATTTATTTATTTATTTTTAATTTCTGCCGCTATAGAATTCTCAGTTACTAATAAAGATAAACAATAATAATGCAGGCTGATGTATGTCATGCATATCAAATACTAAAAAAAGCTGGACTGAAAGACGAAAATATCATTGTGTTCATGTACGACGATATCGCATACAACAAGGAAAACCCTATGCCTGGTGTCATCATCAACAAGCCAAATGGAACAGACGTTTACAATGGAGTTCCCAAGGTCTATTTAGATTATTAATCCAGAACTACACATATATTTCTTTTTCTAATTTTTCTTTTTATTTCTTAGTTTCGATCACATTATTTAAATAACTTACTAATAATATAAGGTGCCAACCTAGCTAGAATATATTTTTTTCCCCATCTAGGTTGCTAGTTATTATTTCTCGTCATTTATTTTATTTTTTTTTAAAAGTGTACGCACATATTTAATTACAGGGTTTAAACTTTTTTTCTTCTGATAATTACATAGGATTACACAGGAGAGAACGCTACTACCCATAACCTATTTTCAGTGCTTTTGGGAAATAAAACTGCTCTCACTGGAGGAAGTGGCAAGGTGCTGGACACTAGTCCAGATGATTATGTTTTCATCTACTATACTGACCATGGTGGTCCTGGAGTAGTTGGTAAATATACTAGTTCGAACAATTTTTTTTTTTTTTAAATTTAAAAAATGATTTTTTTTTTCTTTGGAGGAATGATGATTATTTTTGCATTAACTAACTTCCAGAGATGCCTGACAAACCTCTTTATGCCGACGAGCTTAACAAAGTTTTGAAGTATAAGCATAAAGCAAATGGTTACAAAAACATGGTAAGCTAATTTATTGTGATATGAAATCAATAATTACCTAGCTTATTTCTTTTTTCAAATATTCTAATACTATAATGGTCAGAATAAACTAACAGCAGTGATTCCTGACAAAAAATATATATTTTTTTAATTTTTGTGAATTATTAAGATATAGTTAGATATAAAATCACAAAAGTATGCTAATGGCTATAATATTTTATTGAAAACATTATTTAAATTATTATATATGTAGGTGTTCTACCTTGAAGCTTGCGAGTCTGGGAGTATGTTTGAGGGCCTTCTTCCAACCAATATAAATATTTATGTGACCACAGCATCAAATGCTACGGAGGATAGTTGGGCTGAGTATTGTCCTGATTATGGTGCCCCAGCAACCTTTGATACTTGTTTGGGAGACTTGTATAGTATTTCTTGGTTGGAGGACTGGTACATTAATATAATCCCTATCACACACACACACACACACACACACACACATATATATATGTATATATAGATATATATGTATATGTATATGTATATATACATACAAATCCTTTTATGAATAAATCTCAAAACAATCTTGATTTTCCAATTATCAATTCCCTAATTTCTTTGGCATGGTTTTTGGGGTACACAGTGACGCAAAGGACTTACGTAGTGAAACTTTGCAACAGCAATATGAAGCGGTAAGCTGGGAATAATAATGAAAATTTAGTACTTGATACTCTGGTGAAAATTTTATAAAGATATTTCTTATGAAGTGATTAATTATAAACCAAAATTTCATAGTTAATTATAGTTGGATGAGTTAGAATGATGTGGATGTTGTAGGTTCGCGATAGAACCCTAAAGGGAACCGCGTTCAATGGCAGTTCTCATGTCATGCAATATGGAGATTTGAGTTTAAGTGTGAACTTCCTCTCATCTTACATGGGTAGTAACCCTCCAAGTAGTAGCCATGAATCATCAGCAACAGATGCCTTATCACCGTATGTGAAAGTTCCACAACGCGACGCAGATCTACTTCATTTTCAGCACAAGGTCTTCTCTCAAAAGTCTTCAACGTTTAATCATTCAAAATGTTGTTCAAAATTTCATATTTCCTGTCCTAATTACTTCTTTTTAACTTTGCAGGTTCGAAAATCAGCTGCTGGTTCTTCGGAGAATCTTGAAGCTCAGAAGAAACTGCGTGACGAAGTTGCTCGGAGGGAGCATATTGACTATAGTATAAATCATGTTGGCAACCTCTTGTTTGGATCAGAAAATGGCTCGAAAATGTTGAGTTATGTTCGCGCTGCTGGCCAACCTCTCGTCGATGATTGGGACTGTCTCAAGACTCTTGTAATCCTTCTATACACTCTTTGCCATGTTACATATGAAACAAAACATGACACACACCACGTAGCACAGAATCTATATCACTATTTTCCTACACCAATTTTATGCCAAATTTAAAGTCATTGATTCTCGTTGGTTTCCTAATTTGGATGCAGGTGAGCGCTTATGAGAAATACTGCGGATCCTTGTCGACCTACGGGCTGAAATATATGCGACACGTCGCTAACCTCTGCAATGCTGGGGTCACAGCCGATCAAATGGTTGCAGCGTCAATTAAAACTTGTTCGTAATGAAAATCCATCTAGCTTAACTAGCTATGATAATAAGTTCTATCTTTTTTTTAACTTATAAAGCAGTACTACTGTTATAATGAATAAGCAGGATGGACTTCAGTATATAGATATAAACTGAAGCTATGTAATAAAAGAAATCAACGTAGATGCATTCTACACAAAGGCTTAATCAGAATTTCCCACATTTTTGTTTTCTCAATGTTTCTGCTAGAACATCAAATTATTGTCGGGCCTGTTTGTTTCACGGCTTCATGCGATTTGAATTCGTGAGACTGGTTCAAACCATTAGTTGGAGTGCATTGGCTAAGATGGTTTTGAAACCTGATGTGATGTTTGAACCCATCCAAAACCGGTTTTGGAGAACTTTAGCCTCCCTAAGATTCACAAGGTTTGAACCTATTTGCTACGGCAAAATCATAGATGCACTTTTTATTTCCTCATAATTCTTTGGCTTGAAAATGCTACAATGGATTGCGCCAACTTTTTTGGTTCGCCGACAACTGGGATAGGAACCAGATTCTCAATCTTTATTGACCACAACGTTAAAACCTTTCAATTTTTTATTTTCGTGAAAAATCAAATGACTGATTCAGACATTCCTAAATTTTATGAATTTGTGATACGGGTTCAGCAATTAATATGCTGTCGGGTAAAGTTTCTTATCATTGCTTAAGTTATTTGGATGATCACTAAACAACTGTTTAAGTAAATGTTGCCGTTTGATTGTATTGACCTTTAGCAATATGCCAGACACTAATTAAGGTTCTGATCCATATACACAATTAACTTGAAGTTTTCTTATCAATATGTTAGGTAGTTAGAATTTCAATTTGAGAAATAATTCAACTGTCATGTAGTCATCAACGATTGCGCTTGTCTTTAGTATTTTTATCTTTTTTTTTAAATGGTCTTAAAAAATACAGTCAAGCAAGATTCGGGTTATGATGTATTTTAACGAATTAAATTTGAACCCGGATATAATGTGGCTATTAACAATTCAAGGACCTTTTGCTGATAAAAATAAAACTGGGGACTAAATACGCATTCACTTAAAAGTTCATGTTGCAGCGGTATAAGTGTGTGTGCGGAGCCGCAGCTCCGCAAAGCTGTTTAGCAGGCGCTTTGTGCCCATATGGCGGAGCTGTTTAGTATGCTCTTTGTGCCCATATGGCCACATCTCTTAATGACAAATTTTTAACTTTTTTTTTTTTTTTTTTTTCGACAGCCCTCTATATTCAACAAAGTCATCGCCCACAAGCAGTGGAGAATCACATAATCTTACTTACAAGATCAATCCAAAAATTTATATACTTAATTAACTGCCTTTTGTAATATTAGAACTTATTAATTGAACTTATGATACCAAACATTGCCTGCACCCTATCAATATGCTCTCTCTTTTATTATTCTCATCTTTAATGTATAACATTCTATCTTTAGAAACCATCTAGCTATTCCAAATTCCAAATCTTTTCCATAAACCAGCATACTGTCATGGACCTTTTCTTCTTACAAGGTAACCGTGCGGCGTTAGCACTCCCGAGCTATGCTAACAAGCCTAACTTCACGCAAATGCAAGGCTAATAAAGTGAAAGCAGAGAAACGAGAGTAGGAACACACGAGAAAGGGATAAATGTGAAGAGAGCTTCACTAAGTATGGCAATCCTTTATAATTGTTTTCACTCTAATATTTTTTGGTTGGTTCCACAAATAAAGGGACCACCCCTCCCATGAACATTCTAGAATGCTATGGAATTCCTCATATCCTAGAACTTTCTAGAGAATGCTTACAAAGGGTGGTCACTCTATAAGTTTCTAGAGTCTTCTACAAGGGACTCCTCTATGGAACCATTCACAAGGTTTTAGAGAACTCTAAGGTTCTCCCTAAGAATAGACTCCTCTGGAATGTTCTAGAACAATCCATATGGTAGACAATTGTAGAGTGTTCTAGAGAATTCCAGAGTCTTCTGAGAAACCTCTAGTATTCAGAGTGGGGTAAAATCTTGCAGTTTGTGACATTCTCCCCACCTAATGTCGCGACGCCCTCATCGTGCCTTCATTGAAGTGCTGGATTCGATCCTTGAACTGCCACAGTGCATCCTTGGACTCCCAGCTTGCTTCTGTGTCGGGCAAACCCTTCCATTTGACGAAGTATTCTTTATAGCTTGGTACACCTCTTCGTCAAACTGTTCGATCTGCTAGCACTTCTTCTACTTCTTGGTCGAACGAAGTGACTACGGCTGTCAGCACCCTTTTTGAAACTCCCCGCAGTGGTTCATCCAAGTCTTCGCTATATGGCTTCAGTGAGCTCACATGGAAGACTGGGTGAATCTTTAGCTTCGGTAGAAGTTGGAGTTTATAAGAAACTTTGCCAACTCGTTTGATTACTAGAAACAGACCCTCATACTTACGCACTAGGCCCTTGTGCACCTTGCTCAAGGTTTTGAACTGTTGTGGCAAAAGCTTCACTAGGACAAGGTCGCCTTCTTTGAATTCTAAGTGCCTTCGCTTCTTGTCTGCCCATTTCTTCATTCTCTTAGCAGCCTTGTGCATCGTCGTTCAAGCCAATTTTGCTTGCTCATGCCATGACTTAGCGAACTTGAATGCTGCAGGACTCTTCCCTTCATAGCGGGTGGCAAGGGAGAGGGGTGTTATCGGCTGCTGTCCCAAGATGATCTTAAAAGGACTTTGGTTGGTGGCCTCATTCTGCTGCAAGTTGTAGGAAAACTGTGCCATGTCTAGAAGCTAGGCCCTATCCCATTGATTGGCACTTACATAGTGCCGCAATGCCGAAAGCACCTTTGTTTCTTGCTTGGCTGCTCTGGCCGTTGGTACCACGCAAGCCTTGTCACAATCCATGATGCACATACTGTTGGCAAATGGCACTGGGATTGCCTTGATCAAGGAACTCCAATCCTAAGACGAGCCTGAAGTCGTCCATCAGAACCACCGAGAAATCCATATGGCCAGACTATGTGCCAACACTGGTCTTGACCCCTCGGGCTATGCCATGAATGGGCCGCGCTGCTGAGTTAACTGCCTTAATGGATCCTCCTCCACCTATTGCCTTAAGACCTAGCCAGCTTGCTTCATTAATAGAAACAAAGTTGTGAAACGCACCTGTGTCGAGCATGGCTTTTGTTGCCTTCCCATTGATGGTCACGTCCACATAGAGCAACCCCTTTGCTTCGGTCTTTGGGGCGGATTAGATAACGTTAAGCAGTTGCATGGACCCCATGTGTGCACCCTCGTCACCTCCAGTGGTGCCTTTCTCCTCTTGATGCTTTGCTAGGAGCGAGTTAAGGGCTTGTTGTTGTGGGCAATCTCGCATCTAATGGTTGCCATCACAGATGAAACACTTGTTGGGCGGCTGCCTTCCCGAGCCACGGTGTTCCCTCTGCTTACCCTTATCCTTGGCTTTCCACGAGGATGAGTCCTTGTTCTTGGGCATGTTGGGCTCCTAGTTGCCTTCCCTGTGTTGGCCTCTGTCTCCCCCACCTTTGGCTTGACCTCCTTTCTTGTCCTTTGGCTTGCTGGTGGACTCTTTCTGGCTATTGTAGTCAATAAGGCTCTCGGCTACGGCTATGGCAGTGGCGAGGTCTTACACCCCATGATGCCTTAGCTCGGTCTTGGCCCATGGTTGAAGTCCATCCATGAAATTGAAGAGCGAGTCCTTGTTGAACAGGTCGGGGATCTCAAGCACTAGGTTGGTGAAGTCCTTGATGTAGTCGCGAATGCTCCCTGACTGTTTCAGCCTTCGTAAGCGGGCTCTCGCCTCATTCTCGGCATTTTGTTGTTTGAGCTCCTTTTTAAAGTCATCAAAAGTAGAGATGGTGCACATACCTCTCTCGATGTCTCCACGGCTTCTCCTCCACCACAGCATGGCGGTGTCAGTGAGATACAGAGTTGCGGTCTGGATCTTGGAGGCTTCCTCCATGACGCTGATAGCTCCAAAATATTGTTCTAGCCCCCACAAGAAGTTGTCTACTTCTTTCGCGCTGCGTGATCCTGTGAAGGTCTTTGGTTTCGGCACCTCGACCTTCCTAGCCTCAACCACAGTGCTTGGCCCAGCTGCCAAGGCACGCTTGCAAAGTGCAACGTCGCCCTGTAATGCCTCATACTGGGCTAGGGTGCTGTTGATCTCGCGCTGGAGTACATCACGCACCTTGGAAAGCTCCCCCATAAACTGGTCGCGCATCTCCCCCATTTCTACTCGCATGGTCTCCTCTAGTTGGACCATCATGGACTTCACTGCAGTGTGGATCTCGGCATCCTCCGCCTCAAGGCCTTCTACCCGCTGGTAAAGGTCATCCACCTGGGCACCTACGCCAGCCACACCTTTCTCCACGTGGGTCATGCGTGACTCAAAGCTAGAAATGAGATCCTTAGACCTACCCCGTGGTCTTGCAGCAGTAGGGTCGACCATCTCCTCGCGACCTCGTTGTTCTTGCGTGACCTCCACATCTGATGAGCCAACAGTTTGATTCTTGGCGTTCTTCCCCATGTCCAGGTTGTGGCTCTAATACCAACTGTCATGGACCTTTTCTTCTTACAAGGTAACCGTACGGCGTTAGCACTCCCGAGCTATGCTAACAAGCCTAACTTCAAGTAAACGCAAGGCTAATAAAGTGAAAGTAGAGAAACGAGAGTAGAAACACACGAGAAATGGATAAAAGTGAAGAGAGCTTCACTAGGTATGGTAATCCTTTACAATTGTTTTCACTCCAATATTTTTTGGTTGGTTCCACAAATGAAGGGACCACCCCTATTTATAGGCCAAGAGGACCCTCCCATGAACATTCTAGAATGCTATGGAATTCCTCCTATCTTAGAACTTTCTAGAGAATGCTTACAAGAGGTGGTCACTCTATAAGTTTCTAGAGTTTTCTACAAGGGACTCCTCTATGGAACCATTCACAAGGTTCTAGAGAACTCTAAGGTTCTCCCTAAGAATAGACTCCTCTGGAATGTTCTAGAACAATCCATATGGTAGACAA